GCGCGCTCTATACATGATCGCATCCAGCCATGCATGCAAAACGAACTCCAGATGCTCAAGAACAAGCAAACCCATAACCGAGCTCTAGGAAGGACCTGCTGATTCTTGGCTCAGTAGAAAAGAAGAGCTTTCTACACCGCAAGGTTGCGTTGGTTTCACCGCCCTCCCCTTTTATTTCCCCCCTCCCCCCTCTCCTTGGGCTCTTATATTATTTCTCCTTTGAAAGGATTACCTTTCAGCTTCACTGCCCAAAGTTCACTTTTCCCCTCACTCTGTGTTCGCTGCATATTTTGCGATTTTGTCTTAATTTTCACGGCCCTTCTCGCCGCCCCAGGAGATGCTCCGTCGGCTCTGACTGCGACTGTGTCGGTTGTATGGAGAATTATTCTCTTGTCCCTCACTGGAGGTTTCTCCCGACTGTTGTCTGCTGGTTGGGGGCTTCGTGCCGTCGGCAAAGGAGACCTTCGCCTCAGTATCATTGCCCTCATCATCCGTGTCTTCTAGAAGAGCATCCGGATCGTCAGAATCCTCCGAGTCATTGATTTCACCAAGTGCAGCCAGACGACGACGGCGTTCCGCTGGCGTTTCACCTGTGTCATCCAAGTCCGCTTGCTGGGGAGGACGAGTGAGTCCGGCCGCTTCGCGAAGTTGGGCGGGCGGAATACGTTCCGTGCCATCATCATCGGAATCCCGTCGTGACCGGGGACGCGATTTCGGAGACGTGGATGTAGGACTGAGGTGGGAACTGCGACGCTCTTCGGCTGCTGTGCCACGTGTGAACCGTGCCAACGAAGCGGCAATGTCGCCGGGCACTTCCACGTCCGATTCGTCGTCCGTGAATTCGCTTCCGGTGCCGGATTCGTCATCCTCTGCGACGGGGGCAGGGGCAGGCCGCGAAGCCACTCCGGGGTCTGATCGGCGGCGCTCTTGCGATTCAGCCTTCTGAGCCTCCTCGCGAGCCACCTTCTTTACCCGTTCGGGGGCGTCGGTCTCTTCGACCACATCACGACGTGCTTTGGGACCAAGGTTACGGATCTGTTGAGCAAATTCATGCTTGGTCATGCGGCGACCCTTGTGCTCGACGCCTCTCTTGCCGACATCATTGTCATCAGCCAGGGTGAAACGCAGACCATCATCCGCCAGCCAGTCGTCTTGAGCAGCCTTGCGGGCGGCCTGGGATGACTCGCCCTCCTCTTCCATGCCGAACCACGTGCCCATTCTTGTCAGTCCGCGACGAACAGGAGCATCCGTCTCAGGTTTATCCCCGGAAGGAATGGAATACTTCTTGATAACTTCTCCATCTTCGTCCTCCACGATGATGGTGTTGCCGAACTGGTAGGCGTGAGCGGAGCGACCTTTGGCCTTGGCTGGCTTTCTCGATGCTTCCTCAGCCTTCTTCTTCTCATCAGTCTGTTTGGCCTCCTTGGCCTCTTGGTCGTCGGCACGACCCTTCCCAAGCCCAATCCACTGGCCAAAACGCTTGCGAGCCTTGTCCAGCGGGTGTCCGGTCTTTTCGCCAATGGCCTGCTCAATCTCCTCTCCTTCAGTCTTGCCATGAGGCTGGCTGCGCGATTTGGCGTATTCATCCGATTGTTGCTGCAACTTCTGGCGTTGTTCTTCCATATGACGCTGTTGCTCCTCGGTGGACATATGACTGATATCCTCAACCTTGAGAACGTTGCCTTCTTCATCTTCCATGACCATGTTGTGACCTTCCAGATAAACTTCGAGCGCAGGCTCGCGTCCAAACTTATCGGCTTCCTTGGAGGGCGGGGAAGCCTCGCGTTCGATCTTGTCGCGCTCCCTGGATTCATCGCTCTTTTCCTTTTGCTCATCCGACTCCGTCTCCAGTGGGCGTTGAGGGGCAATAGCTGACTGACTGATCGGGCCACCGGCGCCGTCGGTGCGTCTGCGACGTCTGCGGCGCCTCCGCGCAGATCTACCACCCGTTGACTCGGTATCTTCGTCGCGAACCCGACGCAGGAAGTTGCCTGGTACACCAATGGGGGGCAGCGTCCCTGGAGGATATTCCGGTTCATTCGAAGATTCGTCCTCATCCGGTTTCCGGAACGACATGGAACCTTTAGCAAGAGATTGCACGCGAGGCAAGCGGTTCATCCAGGAAGGACCCTCCTCGTTGGCGGTGGTGTAGGACAGCGTGATGGTCAAGGTGTTGATGCGCTTTCCTAGCGTAAACACGGCAATGGACGAACCATGGACCAGGATCGAGGAGATGACCATGAAGGTGGTGACGGGCCAAATCAGCTGGATGATATAGTAATTATGACTGCCCGGACCCGGTAAGTCCGACTCGGACCAGGGCTCGGTGCTGTCTGATTCTAGCTCAGCCCGGGCCAGGATAGAAGCGAAGATTGCGCCGACACCAATGGGGCCGAAGTGGCCGGCAAACAGGGCCTCGCGCCACGTTTTCACATCCGGGATGATAGGTTTCAACATCAACATGATCGGGATGCGGCGGAAGAAGATGACAAGGATGGCAATGACTACAAGCCGCCAGGGCACAAGGCCGATGTCCGGGTTGTTGTAGTCCTCCCAGGGGACGATGGCTCCGAAATAGACAAAGTAGGCCAAGTTGAGCAGGAGATCGATGACGTTAGACACGTGCGATTCTTCTGTTTTCTCTGTAAACCAACCATCGTTACTGAAGCCGACGCCGGCCGAGAAGCCTATCAGAAGGTCGTCCATGCCCAGCAGACTGCCTGAGCCGGCGCAGAAAACGGCCAGCACGAAGTAGAAGACCAAGAAACTCTCACGGTCAATCAAGCCCTTGCGCTCGGCGAATTTGATCGAATGACGCGCGAGGTAGCCGATGACGAAGCCAAAGATTGCGCCGAAGACGCACTCGTAGAGGATGGTAATGCAGAACCAGTTGAGCGACACCTCCCCGGCATTGGGGCGGTAGCGCCAGATGTAGAATCCCAGGTAAATGAAGGGGAAGGCCATGCCATCGTTGCAGCCCGACTCGGCAGACAACAAGTCTCTCAAGTGCTTGGGAACCCGTCGCGCGAATTTACCTTTACCTACGACGGACGAGGCCAAGACGGGGTCCGTGGCGGTGACGCACGCGGCGCACACGAGACTCTCCAGCCAAGAGAGGGGAGGCACCATCCACCAGATAAAGAGACTGGTCACCAGCCAGCCCCAGGTCATGACGGGCACCAGCAGCAGAAAGACGGATTTCCAGTGACGTTCCATGTACGCTTTGGGCAACTCGACGCCGACGGCAAAACACTGGACGACCAAGACGATGCGAGAGCACTCGAGGGTGATCTTGTCGACATTGCCCCACGAGTTGGGATTAAACAGGTTGGCCGCATGAGGCCCGAAAATGATACCGCAAAGGGTAGCAACGGTGGCTTCACCAATGTAGAGCTTCTCCTTGACGAACAAAGAGCACAGCATGAACAGACTGGTAAAGCCACCCAGAATCATGTAAGCCAGATGCGGCTTGTCGATGTCCAAATGATCCCACGCCATGGTTGCGACGGGCGGACGGAGGGTCCGGGAACTACTACAGCGGTCGTGCGGCGGGCGCTTGCTCGAGCTGCGGGATGGCTTGATTTAATTCCTCCCCGCGCAGCCCGTGATCTTCACCCCGATATAGCCTTGCACCAGGCACCGTAAATCCCGGGTATACCTCCACCGATCGGACCAATGCGCAATCAAGCAAGGGAGATCCACCTCAAAAGTTGACCAACGCGCCGGGTTCCCGCATACCTCGGGGGGTCAGGAAACGCGGACCGAGCTGAAGGCGACGGACGCCGCGGAGAATAGGCGAGGTCGGAGGAGGATAGGGAGGGGGCAGGCGGCGCGGTCGTTCCAAGGGCGTCGCGGGTGCGTTCTGCAAGGGGGGGAAGGAGATGCCTAGGTGAGCGCTGGACGTGAGATAAGTTCCGGGGAAAAAAAAGGAAAAGGGATGGTAGCAGAAGGGAGAAAAAAAAGGAAAAAGAGTTGGTCCGTGTAACTATCGAGAGAGAAGGTAGACTATGAAGGTGGAAGTGAGAGAGAGGTTCCGGGCTTACCAGAAGAGGCAATCGATGGTTTATCCGGATGATCTCCGATAATGTTGACCGACTCCGCCAGAAAAGGAAACGCTCAAGAAGGAGAATACCAAGATAGAGAGTAAAAAAAAGGTGAGAGGGTTGCGGTCAGACGAGGTGAAAAGACCGGGGAGTTATGGAGGAGTAAGTAGGAGGAAAGGTGTCCCAAGAAAAGAAAGGGCGGGAGAAAGAGAGAGAGAGAGAGAAGTAGAGAGACGGGGAAAGAGAGAGCTCCAAGGTTTCTCAGCCCAGCGCAGGACCAGCAACACCAAGGCAGAGAGAGCGTGGAGGGACAAGAAAAAACCAAAAACGACTGGGCGTCTGGGCAAAGGCTGGCGAATGGCCGGGACCAGAAGACCGGAAATTTCCTTTATGAAGGCGATAGGGATACCAAGACCACAACCAAGCCCGAGACCCAGTGCCCGAGCGGCATCGTGACGCTTGATTTGATGCGAAGGTTGGGGGGGGGACACTGGATGCAGCCCAGCACCGAAACGTAACGAAAGCGATTACGCAGGAAAGCGACGGGGCGAAGGAATCAGAAAGCGCGGATCAGACCGGGCGGGGAATGGTGCGAATAACTCTTTTTCCTCTCTCTCTCCCCCTCTCTCTGCCACTGTAACTAAGTTAGTTTGGTAGTAAGAGGAGGAAGCACAGAGCGAGAGGATCCATGGTCGTTCGCGGAACGAACAATTTTGAGGCTTGGCGGAGCGGGACTCTCGTTTTTAGATTGCTTCGTTTCCTCTTCTCGCCCGTTTCTAGTCAACTTTTTCCCTTCTACTGTGTACTGTACACATCTTCATCTCACTCTGGCTTACTTCCTTCATTTCCCGAGTATCCCTTGGCAATGACCAAGAGTCCGGGTTGGCATCCCACTTGGTAACCTCGCGTAAAGCTGAACCCGCTCTCCAACTCTTCAACTCGGCTTCTCTCACCCGGCATCTCCGGGACCTGCTTCCATCCATCCATTGATAGTTGCCCCAGTCAATACTAGTCACGATGTAGATACTAGAAAAGTGGCCGATGTGCTCAGTTCTCCCGATGATTCGACATAAATCAGCAGTACCACCTGTCTATTTTGCCCCAGACCAGTTCCTCCGATCTGACCTACCGCTGGGAGATTTCCCGTGTAACCTGGAGAAAGATAACTCGATAGATGGATTGGTCTAGATACTGTAACCGGCCAATTCTGTGGCATGTATCAGATGGAGGATGCAGGATAAGCTTGATCTCGTGTCAAACCTCATCTCCAGGTCCAGTTCCATGACAGGTGGGAGACCGTGTCACCAGTCACTGGTCACCAAAACATCTTCCTCATCATCCATCATTCATCACACACACCAGCTGGTGCCAATCAACTACCATGACGCCATGCAGCGATAGCGCCTCTCTCTTTCCTTTCTCTTTTTCCCACTTTTTTTGGCCCTTTTCCACATGAGATCGGTGCTGCACCAACATCTCCCACCTTAACCCGCTCGGGCAAGCCGGGGGGGCTTATCGCTCTTCGCCCTGCGAGGCTGCCGAGACTTTTCCTGCCGGTCTTTATTGGCGGTGAGAAACACTAGACCGTTAGTCTCACTCCACAGTGGGGAAGCAGCCCCTCTTGCACTTCTTCTCTCGCCCGCCACTTACGCTGGGTCTCCCACGGTCTCTTTCCGCTTAGTACCAATCTGGTAAGTCAGTGGTAGTTCAACCCACCAGGTTCCGTCTCCATTCCCAGGTCCAGCGCTCTCCGATTACTATCACAAGGGAAAAGCACTCTGATTGACTGTTCGGAACTGGCCTAGTGTGGACTAGATCCAGCGAGTCAGGTACACCAGATACTAGAACAGGTACACCTTCGCTTACTCCGCCTGTTGCCCTTCATAGTGGACTCAACCACTTGGGCTCTTTACTGGAGCACAGTCAGATTCGACTTGAGGGTGCTCGCCATACCACTCAACTTATACAGAATTGATCCCAATGTCTATTCTGGTGGGTCAGAACCGGAATTGAGCGGATGAAACCCAATGGCAGAAATCCAAAAATAGGCATTGTCCCTCTACTGCATACGAGAAACCTCTCGATATGTTTAGAAAAGCATGAAGCAGAAACTGGAAGACGGCAAACAAACTGTTAATCCACTTCCCACAAAACCTACACTATCCCGACGTGTCCGGTCTAGACAACGGCAGCCATATCCTATGCAGATATTCCTTGTTTGGTAGGTAATGTGTGAGCGTGACAGACTGAAAAATGCCCGCTCATGACTAGCCGCGCCAAACACTTGCGACTTGCATGATGAGTGGCAGGTGGGCTGTGCAAACAATTGACTCTGCTCTATGCTATTACGGCGGTTAACTAGCGTCTACACTGCAGAAACCCGAATGCCTTGCAACTGCATGAGGAAGGTAGATATGTATGGTAGGTATGCGTATACTGCACCGTACTTTCAAACCCACGAAGTGTGAACAAGAATAAAGTTCACAGCAGAGCCCAATCCAATGCTCGTTTGCCTTAGCAGGCATGGAGACCCAATGCTAGCCGTTGAGTGAACTGCATGGAGACAGATTTTTTTTAGGTTGTCTACTAGCTGCAGGGGAACCACAGAAAGCGATCCAAAGAGACACAGAATGGATAGGTCTATTGTGCTCGCCACGAGAGATACTAGTTGACTTAATGGAGGCAGTCTCGAGGGTCTCCCACCACCATGCCAAATAAGCTTTGAGACAAACTCAATTATGTCTACATTTCATTTAGACTCGAGCCTGTGCCCCTTGCCACCCCACGTAGGAGGGCGCCAGAACACTACAGTAAGAAGGAAAAGCATCATTGTGATGTTGCTGAACTCTATCTACTAGTCGTCTACTGTTTGGCATACTACTACTAGTCAAATAGCATCACTACATTTATACTCTTTTATTACTGTCACATACCTACAACTTCTAGAATTTATAAAGACATAGTTATTCCTGCAAGGAATTGAGGTCACGTCGACAAAAAGAGTATACTAATACGATTCTATTCATCAGATTTCATTCATTTGCTGACATTTAAGCCATATAATAAATGACTAGACTATGCGAAATCTCATTATGAGTATAGTATAGTAAGTGCTAGTAAATCCACCACAGGTCAAATATGAGAATCACAAATCAGTATTATGGAAAACCCATCAATAACAACTCTATAACTGACTAGACCCAGCAATAATCCCTCATCGAATACAACTACTACCACTATCTCAATCTCACCACAACTGTCCCCTCTAGTCCCCTCAACAGCAGTTAAGTTCAATAATACACTAGGAAGGTAACACAAATCCATCAACTATCGCTATAGTAGTATCAGTCACTCTCCCCCTCGAAGCATCCCCATCACTCCGCTTCGTCAAGTTCTTGCATCTCACATAGCGTAGTAATACCATAACAGCAATACAAATAGAATATGGGGATGAAGAAAACCCCAAGTATGACATATATCTAGTGTGATAAAAACCATCGATCTATCTACCTATCTCCTGCATCTGCAGGATTGGATCTTAAATCAGTATCTATCACATACTAGGTACTTGCTAGGGAAGAAAAATTATAGATTAATTGATTATTATTATTACTAGTACTTGTTAAGTAATAGGTGCTCTGCACACTAACCAGATTACTTGAATTATGGGTAGTAGATAGTAACGCTCTAGCCCTCGCTGCATCATGTTGCACGTGCCCAGGAACTGACACGATATTTGATACGTATGTATGTAGTAGTTTCCGGCTGCAACTACTGAGCTAGTGGTATTTCAATTTAGCCAATGGGGTCCGGGTCAGGTTTAATTCGACTCTACAGTGAGTGGGTGATGAGGTGCTGCTTCACTTTGATTTTATCCCGGCTAGCGCGCCATGCTGGTTTTGGGGTTCTGTTCGTGACTTTATCCTACGTCATGTACCTTGTAAACCTAAGTGCGGGTAGTGAGGTTTCTAAATTGGATGGTTTGGGGTTGTTCCTGGTGTTGTCTGCTGGAGAAGGGGGGATCGAAATCTAATAGTAATACACACACTTGCTGAATGCGAGTATTTAGCGTCAGTCAGCAGTAAGTACGGATTACCAGTTAGTGTCTGCTGGGTCTACTACTACTCATGGGAAAATTTCTACGAGACAACCCACCAGTCACCTGAGCTCAAGTCAACTGGGGAAGAAAAAAAACTAGCACGAGGCAGACAGACAGACAGACCCACGATGAATGCCCAATTTGACTTGGTTCTGCATGCAAGTGCTCTCTCCTGCAGGTCAGTCCCAAAAAGCAACCCAACCATGTGTCAAAAGATCATCCCTGCAATCTGCAGCCAAGCACGGAGAGAACAGGAGTCGCTTGGAAGCACGACAAACAAACACATCACGGGCGAAAAATAAAAGAAGACAACAGATTTCAGGCTAAACAACACAGCAGCGTAGATGGAACAGCGTCGTAGCAAACACAGCGGAAAAAGGGGGGGGAGATAAGCGAGGCATTATGCGTGTGAGAAGCAAATAAAAGTGACAAGATTTTGAGCAAAGACCACCGCCGATACTAATTCCCACATTGACAAGTCACACACAATTATCGAGACATACGCGCCAACAGCGACACGGGGAACGGGGAACAGACTGGACCCTGTCGAAGTCTAATCACCCAGTGGCATTCCCTCCACTTGATCGCTCAGTGACCGCCAATTGTCAGCCTGCAGCTCCGAATATTTCACTCGCTCCTGGCTCCAGTCCTGATGAAGCCGGCTGATGTGATACTGGCTCTGTTGGAAATACATAAGTTCGTTGCGGATGCATTCCTTGATAAACACCCCACGTGCGTGCTGATGCACAATCGATTCCTTGTCCTACAGCAGTAACATGCAAGGTCAGCTCCCTTTCCATTTTTCGGTTCCCCCACATTGCCTTCTCCAGAAATGGTAACCCAAGTCCATACCTTGACAATTGATTCCTCTACTTTCTCAATTTCCCCAGGCTTTACTGGCTGAGTCCGCGCCCGTAGATCTTGCAGTTTCCTCTCGCTGTTCTCAATCCGTTTTTCCAACTGGGGGATGTTGTTGCGCGCATACCGGTCTCGCCGGTCAAACATCTCGCGAACGCTGACCAGGCAGTCCCGCTGGCGCTTAAGGTCTTCCAGCATTCCTTCTTCCCAGGCTCGTGCTTCATCTTCCAACAAGCTCTGACTGGCCGAAAGGTGCCTCGCGGTGGCCTTGATGCCCTCGTTGAGCAACGGCACGTCGTTCGTGTCAAAGGCATACGTATCCCGCGTCATTTCAGTAAGCGACTGAAGGGCGAGAGAGAATCGCAGATGATCCGCGGCAAGCCCCTCATTGCGCTTGGCTAACCGCTCGAGTAAAGTGCATAGATTAATGTATACCTCGGCAGACCTCTTGACACCACTACGAACCGTATCGAACATGTCTGTCAGATCCGACGGCAACGAGTCCTCCAGATCGGGAGGCAACGCTCGGCCTGTGAACTCATCCTGAACCGATATTGTGGCTTGCTTACGCCAAACCGAGAGTTCCTACCCAACGTTAGCTCCTACCACCTAGAAGTATTCAAAAGGAGAAATCAAAATCAGACATACCGTAGGAACGGTTAGGAACATAATAACCAGCTGCTCCTGGCTAAGAACCGGGTGACGAACGAGGGCATTGGTGAATCTGACGAGTCCTCTGCGACGCTTCTCAAGGAAGGAATTGGAATCCGCTGCAAGGTGAGTGCCATTGACTTTTACCAGGTAAGTAATCTTGGAGAGCTTGTAACAAGCTTTTGTTCAAACGTACCTGCAAGTCTCTTGGGTGGAAGCAAAGGCAGCTGCCGGAATGGGTATCGTTTGTGGAGGCAGTCCAGGAGCCAGACGAAATCGCTATACCGTCGCACGACCGTACTCTGCCTACGCGCCGATTTCACCTCGTAGTTGCGATGTTGGAACATAAACATGCCCTCTTTCTCCGGGAGCAGCGTGATTGTTATGACTTCCTCTAGACGGGGGCTGCTGACCCGGCCTATCCCCAACGACCGCCGACGGGGATTAGGCTCGCCCTGATCGCTTCCAGAGGAGCCAAAGCCTCCAAGTCCCGCTCGGACAGGCCCTCCCAGTCCACCACCACTGCCCTCAGATGTATTCCCCGCGTTCTCCCCCCATCCAAATCCAGCGTTGTTGGGTGCAGTATCGGTATGACCATTGGCACGGCCGTTATCGGACGCTCCGTGTGTATGATCCCCGTCACTAGCCCTACTCGACCAGGCATTGAATCCCGACCGCACGCTCCCAA